GGCGTGTGTGCACAAGCCCATGTGCGCATGCACACACATTGCAGAGAAGGCTCTGATCTTGAACTAATCCTGCACAGGTATCCTTCCCTTTGAAGACTGATTCCAGCAAAGGCAGAATAAAATAAGCTTCCTATAAAGATAATCCTGCTTACTTCTGATATAAAACAAATGACACATTTCCATAAATGGGGAATCCCCCTACAGTTTAAGTTGAAAACTTAAACTTCCCACTTTAGGGAAAAAATTCAGTTAATTTGAGACACTGAGTTATATGTAAAATTTATTAGCCTCTATTTCAAAAGTTGCTTAAAATGTAAACACTCAGCCGGGCTTGGTGGCTCAGCCTGTAATCCCGCGCCTTGGGAGGCTGAAGTGAGTGGATTGCCTGAGCCCGCGGGTTCGAGACCCGCCTGGGCAACTTGGTGATACCTCATCTCTACAATAAATTAAAAAATTAGCCGGGTGTGGTAGCGTGCACCTGTAGTTCCAGCTACTTGAAAGGCTGAGACAGAAGGATCGCCGGAGCCCCAGCAGGCCCGGGAGCGGCCACTGCACACCAGTCTGGGCAACAGAGTGAGACTCCAACTCAGAAAACAAACAAACAACCCCCCCCCAAAATACAATTTAAACACTCGGTATTGAGTTTAATTAAAACAAGGGATCATGCAGTCAATAGATATCTTAATTCAAGTGATAAAACAGCAAGCTTCACCTTGCCTTTGTCTGAGCTCCAACTACTGAACCTTTTTATTCACAATTTGAAACTGAAGCAGTAAACTTTTTACCAGGCATCTTTTTCAGATTTTCTTAAGCTCAGAGCTGCCTCACTTCCACTGTTATCAGCAGCTAACCAGGATTTGGTAGTTGCTCCATTGTTATGGGTGAGGGAATGGGGATCAGTCTTGTCAGAAGTCTATGAATTTCAAGCTCTACCTGTTCTCTGAAATCATCTGAAATTTGACAAAGAAACTGTATCCAGTGTTTCCTTGCCAAACAGGTCACTACTCTTATTGGTTCTTCACTGAACTTTGCTAGTTTAAGGGGAATTCCAGGTCACCCCCAGGATTGTGTCCTCTACACCTCTTTATCATTCTGGTGGGTGGAGTTTAGCTGGGGGAAGGGCATTTGATATGGGTTAGTTGGATAGAGCAGTATGGAAATTTGCTTTTTCATTTTATACTGCTGTTTCTCCTTGTTAGCTGTGCTTTGGTGGTTTTATTATTATTGTGTCAGGGATAGGGAAAGGGGTGGGGGGTTGTGTGTGGGAAAAGTACTTATTGTATTTTCTTCAGTGTCATTGTTCTTGGTAATTGATACCTCTGTCTTATTTCTCTCATTCTTTCAAAATAAAGATTTTTGAAATTTGGAGGAAACTGTCTGGAAAAATGCTGAGCATCTAGAAAGGATCATATTAAAGGATTTGGGCTCTCTCTTTTTAGTCTTGAGGAAGGAGAAGGGATAGAAGAGGGAGTATAATCACTTAATATACTAATGAGGTTGCCAACTTTCCAATCTCATTTAAGTTCCCTGACACTTTTGTGATATTAGCACAAAAGACAGAAAGCGATAAGTAGGATCCCAAAAAATTTTTAGGTTTTGGAAATTCTGATTTATTAGGGATGCCAAGAGATTGATTTCAGAGGAAAGGAAGATATATTAGATGGAGGCGAATCCCTATCTTTCACTATATGGGTTAGTTGACACAAAGAGACATAAGTAGTACGGCTACAGACTTGTCACGTTAGGCAAGATATTTCATCACTTGGGGCTCAGTTTCACCATCTACAAAAAGAAGGGTGTTGAAGTCTTAAAATACCTTCCAATTTACATTTCTTTGAACCTATGAAATGATTAAAAGCATGAAAAATGACTTGAGAAACTTTCAATTTTACTAAAGTGTAATCCGGTAGGTCCAAATCTGAGAGGGCTTGTGTATAATATTTACCTATTCCAAAGAAGTCACCTGAAGGTCCAACACTTACAGGAAGGTCAGCACAGCAAACAGTTTTATAACTATGCAAGTCAATTACTCAAATTCCTATACAGTGTTTACAATCATATTAAGAGTGATGACTACATTGTTTTTAGGTTGCTTCGTTACCTGCATCCCATGACTCTTAACCCCCACTTGTTACAGGGAATGTTCATATCCTGCAGAGACCAGACTTGGCCAGGGGCTGCTCTCTAGGGAAGAGGCAGAAAGAAGCCAGATGGGGTGGAAAGAGGCAATGTCTGGACAATTAATTACCCTACACAAAGAAAAGCAGCTCTCACAGAAAAAATTGAGCACTCTCAATATTCATGCATGATTAAGAGTTTGTGAAACCACTCTAAAAACCATATAAGATGTGGTAAATTCTGCTGTAGTCTTCTTCAAATACGACAACCTAATCTTTGCATCTCTCTCTAAGATTGTAAAGTTTCCTCCTACGGTTTTGCCTTAAGTTTATTAGGTATGTTTTAGCTTCGATACTTCACTGAGAGTTAAGTTGATGTTTTCTCTCTTATTCCTACTCCAATATGTGATTAAATTAGAGGCTAAGCTCAGATCTCTGATCAAGCTCTCATTGTTTTAGCCAGTTTATTTAAGGTCAATTAATTCCTCAAGGTTAGGAATGAATATCTATCTATCTATACCCACCTCTCTCTCTCTCTCTCTCTCTCTCTCTCTATCATCTGTCTACACATAGACTAACTACATATACATATATATGTAGCTAGTCACGTGTGGTTTTAGGGGGAGAAAGGTTAAGAATATTTACGTGTTGACATGTAGACAGCTGGCTACTTGCAAGGCGGCACAACACCTGGCTCAGGAGACATTGTTTCTAGAAAACCCTAGAGGGTATCCGTACCCATCCTGGGTAAAAGGTGGGCAGATCCAGCCTTTCTTTCCTCTCAGCCCTGTCTTCACATAAGGAAAGCGGTAAATCTCTTGTCTCAGCATGGGAGAAGCCGCCTATATTGTGAAGTTTGCGGTTTTATATTCTCCTATAGATTCAAAGTCCAGAAATTTGGGCAAAATGATCACTATAATCGATCATGTTAAATTCGAGAATCGCGACACTAACTGTCCGGTTTTAAGCAAAATGACGAATGAGAACATTATTAGAACAGTGGGAACGCCAGCCAATCAGCTGACTCCAGTAGCAACGGCCCACTAGCCGCGCGCTCCCAGACCGGGGTTAATGGTGCAAACAGCTCTCCGTAATTGGGTCTACGTCAGCGTTGGCGCGCGCGCCACCTTTCGCCATAGAGCTATACTCCAACCAATCAAACTTCAGCAAAGTGCGTCGCTCCGCCCATTTGCCGTTTAGGTCTCCGCGGAAGCGGAGGCGTGGGGCGGGGCCCGCTCCTTTGAATTCCGGAGGCGGCCTCCGGACCTTGGCGGCTGTGGGACTGAAGAGTGTGTCAGGTGAGCTTTTAAACACCGCGCGAAATGGGGGCCCCAAGAACGAAGGGAATCTCCAACTCCTGCAAAGTGTGGCTGGGGTCGGGTTTTATGTGGCCAGTTTCGCTTCCCGCTTGGGCAGGCTGTAAAAGGGATCCTTGGGAAGCGCTAGGACAGTTCCACCGGGTGGGGTCTGAGGCTGCTTTTCTGCGCTTCTTACACAGGATCCTACGAAACAACTCGAATCTGGATCCTCCCTCTGGGTTGGACATACATATTACTCCTGCTCTGACTTCTTCTGTTCTAGGGAGGTGGGATTGAGTAAGTGTCATTCTGACTATTCTTTTAGTTTTTCCCATTTGAAGCCAAACACTTAAATGTCATTCTTGGTTCCTCTTCCCTTTAATCTACATCCAATTCTTTTATCATAGGCTGACCAGCCTACCTCCAAAATATATTATGAATCAAATCCTTGCCCACCTCTACTCTGTAAACCTTAGGCCTACAGTCGTCCCTTTTCTGGACTTCTGCAATAGCCTTTTAATTGACTTCTTGCCACTCCGTGGCCTTTAACGTTCTAGGTTCTGCACTGCAGCTAAATCAGATGGTATTGCTTCCCTTGCTAACCTACCCCTTTTTCCACATGGTTTCCCATGACACATAAAATCCAAACGCCTAGGCAGGGCATGGTGGCTCACGCCTGTAATCCCAGCACTTTGGGAGGCTGAGGCGGGAGGATTACTTAAGCCCAGGAGTTCAAGACCAGCCTGGGCAACATAGCAAGACCTCGTCTCTACAACAAGTTAATTAGCTGGGCATGGTGGCATGCACCAGTAGTCCCAGCTACTCAGGAGGCTGAAGCGGGAGGATCGCTGGAGCCCAGTAGTTTGAAGCTGCAGTGATCCATGATCATGCCATTGCACTCCATCCTGGGGAACAGAGTGAGACCTTGACCAAAAAACAAACAAAATCTAAACACCTTACTCTGGCCTGCAAGTCCCAATATGATTTAGTTCCTGGCTACCTTTTTTACTTCATCTATCACTACTCTTTACCTTTTTCACTCCACTCTCTCCACAGTGGTGTTGCTGCTACTTAACTCACAAAGCTCTTTTTGCTTTATGATCGTAGCATTTCTTCCTCTCCATGAAATACTCTTCCACTAGATCTTCACATGGCAGGTTCCTTCTTGGCATTCAAATCTCAGCTTAAAGGTCACCTCAGAGAGGCTTTCTCTGAACACTTATTCCAAAGTAACTTCCTATCCACCCTCCATTTTTATCACATCACTGTGTATTATATTCACTATCAGTTATTTACTTATTTATTGACTCTTATCCCCCTCCCCCAGTGTAAATTTTTTGAGTGCAGGGACCTTGTGTGTTTTATTATTTTATATCTGATAACTAGAATTGTGCTCAACATATAGATGATGTTCAGTAATTATTTATTAAATTGATTAATAAATAGGGAATGTTTCTGTCCTGAGAATGCTTAATCTGGCCTGGCCACTGGTTTGGCTTTTGAACTATGCAGTTTTAATTTAGCACTGACAAAGTGAGGAACATACAGATTAAAAGCAAAAACAAGGAAAATGTGGGGAAAATAGGAGCAGAGAAAGTAAGATTGAGCTAACGAGATGAATTTGTTTTGAATTCACTTACATGATAGACCCATTCTAGGAGAGAACTTGCTATGTTGCCTATACTCTTAGTCCTCCCCTCCACCAAGAAAGGCTAGTTCAGCTGATGAAAGTTACTGTGGCAAGTTGTTTCTCTCCTTTTCTATTTAGATCAAGGACTTCAAACATTTTTTTTTTTTAAATTTTAGAGTCGTGGGATACATGTGAAGATTTGCTACATAAGTAAGTTGCATGAAGGTGAGGTTTGGGCTTCTAGTGAGGCTTCTCCCTAATCCCACCCAGGTAGTGGACATGGTACCCAATGGGTGGTTGTGTGCCCTTGTCCCTCTCCCTCCCTCCCTCCTTTAGCAGTGCCCAGCTTTCTTTGCTCCCACCTTTGTGCTTGCGTGACCAATGTTTAGGGCCCACTTATGAATGAGAACATGCAGTAATCAGTTTTTTGTTTCTGTGATTGTTCACTTAGAATGATGGTCTCTGAGATAAGAAGACACCTGGCACGTTCAGAGTGATATGGCCATAGGTCCAGTCCACTTTTGATGGGAGTCTGTGTTGGTTCTATGTCTTTGCTGTTCTGAATAATGCTGCAGTAAAAGTATACATGTGCAGGTGTCTTTGGTAGAGCAATTTATGTTCCTCTGGGTATATTCCCGAAATGGATTTCTGGGTTGTATGGTAGCTCAATTTTTAGTTATTTGAGAAAAAACCACACTGCTTTCCACAGGGGTTGAACTAGCTTACATTCCCAACAACAGTGTAGAAGTGTTCCCTTTTCTCTGCAGCCTTATCAGTACCTGTTGTTTTTTGACATTTTATTGATAGCCATCCTGACTGGTGTGAGGTAGTATCTCATTGTAGTTTTGATTTGAATTTCTCTGATACTTTGAGCTGAGCATTTTTTCATATGTTTGTTGGCTGCTTGTATGTTTTCCTTTGAGAAGTATCTGTTCATGTCCTTTGCCCACCTTTTCTTTCTTTCCTACTTTCTCTATCTCTCTCTCTCTTTTTTTTTTTTTAAGAGAGATACGGTCTCAATATATTGCCCAGGCTAGATTCAAACTCCTGGGCTCAAAGCAATCCACCCACCTCCGCCTCCCAAAGTGCTAGGATTATAGGTGTGAGCCATTGCGCCCAGCCTCCTTTGTCCACTTTTTAATGGGATTATTTTTTTTCCTGTCAATTAGTTTGAGTTCCTTATAGATCCTAGAGGTTAGGCCTTTGTCAGAGACATAGCTTGCAAATATTTTTTCCCATTCTGTGAGTTGTCTGTTTACTCTCTTGATGGTTTATTTTGCTGTGCAAAAACTTGAAGGTTCCACCTGTCAATTTTAGAGTTTGCTGCATTTGCTTTTGAGGACTTGACCATGAATTCTGATGTCCAGGAGATTGTTCCCTTAGTCTTCTTCTAAGATTCTTTGATGTTTTACATTGAACTGGTCAAAACCTTTTTTTGAGAAAGTTAACTTACAGGTTTTGTTTCCTGGATTGTTGTCAACTTACTGCGTGTGTATATGCTAGGTATTGTGTACTAAATACTGTACAGTACTGGGAATACACCCTGTCTTTGGAGAAAAAGGGACAGTTTGGCTGATTACTAATAACTTAAACTTGTTTCTGTATAGAGCATATACAGTCATGTCGTCGCAAAAGAGAGTTGAGAACACCCAGGCAGAAAGCAGAACTTCACAAGGTAGTAATAGTTATCAGACCAGCCTTTTAGCCTGGAAAATAAAACAGAATCCAAGTGACTCAAAGAACATCTCAAAACATGTACAAAACAATTCAGTGGAAGATGATGAGCATGCTGATGATGCAGCTGAAGATGCTCTGCAAATAGCAATGGGATACTTTGAGAAAGGTAAAAGTGGATTATTTCCTTATGAAAGTTCTATTTCTATAAAATATTCGTCTTTTTTCTTAAGAATTTTAAAGGAAAACACGGTTTTGCTCATTCATGATTTTGTTTATTTCACAGACATTTATTGAACACTTAGTATGTTTTAGTATGCTAGGTACTAAGGACATGATAACAAAACATCTTCCTAGCAGAGTGATTCCCAAACTGCTGCATATTGAGATCACCCGAGAATCTTAAAAAACAAACAAACTGATGCCAGGCATCCACTCTCAGACTTTCTGATTTTATTAGTATGGATACATCTTGGCATTGGTATGTTTTTAAAGGCCTAAATGACTCTAATGTATGGTAAAGTTTGGGAACCACTGCCCTAGTATTAAGACAGGTTATAGTCTAAGTTCAATGCTTTTAGTTAGTTTAGAACAAGAATGTCAAAGCATGATTCAGTCTTCCTCACTGAAGGTGTTATTGCTATTAAATAGTCTTGAGTTTTAAGGACTTTGAATGGTTTTTAGGAAGACATTTTTGTGTGTGTGTCGGGGTTTCACTCTCACCCGTGCTGGAATGCAGTGGCACAATCATGGTTCACTGCAGCCTCAACCAGGAGGACTCAGGCAATCCTTCTGCCCCAGCCTCACAAGTAGCTGGGACTACAGGTGCACGCCACCACACCTGGCTAATTTTTTGATTTTTTAAAAATAGAGATGAGGTCTTACTATGTTGCCTTGGCTGGTCTTGAACTCCTGGGCTCATCCCAAAGTGCTGGAATTACAGGCATGAGCCACTGTGCTCGGCCTGTAGGAAGGTATTTTTTACTTAAAGCTATTCCTTTGAAGAGTCCCAAGTTGTGACCAGGCACCGTGGCTCATGTCTGTAATCCCAGCACTTTGGGAGGCAGAGGCAAGAACATTGCCTGAGCCCAGGGGTCTGAGACCAGCGTCGGCAACATGGCAAGACTTCATCTCTACAATAAATAAAAAAATTAGCCAGGCATAGTGGCACACACCTGTAGTGCCAGCTATTTGGAAGTCTGAGGTAGAAGGATAGCCTGAGCCCAGCAGGTCGAGGCTGAGGTAGCTGTGAGTGTGCCGTTGCACTCCAGCCTAGGTGACAGAGTGAGACTCTGACTCAAAAAAAAAAGAGTCCCAAGTTATAATTGTTGAGCCTGAAAGAATTTTAAAGGTCTCATTACTTAATATTGTTTCTTTTTTTAGGTCCCATTAAGATTTCACAGAGCAAAGATAAAACCCTGGAAAAACACTTGAAAACTGTGGAAAACGTGGCTTGGAAGAGTGGGTTAGCTCCAAAAGGAATTGACATTCTATTAAATGTGGCACTCAGTGGCAAATTTGGTATGTTGAGAGAATGCATTTATCATCAGTTTGCTATTAGTTTTGCCTGTTGGACTTTGAATTAGATTGTTTATTGGAATCAGTTGTTCTTCATTCTTACTATCAGTCTGGTAAGATTATAAAATGGGCCTTTCTTGTGTTTAGACTACCTAATGAGCCAAAAATTTCTGGTGGCATATGCTGAAAATGACCAGTTACCACATATCTTTACAAATGAAATGCCTAGACCCTTGTCACCAAATACATAGGAACCATTTTTAGCATTTTTCTTAAGAAACATGCTTAATGATTTATTTTTTTATTTTTATTTTTATTTATGTATTTATTTATTTGAGTTGGAGTCTCACTCTGTCGCCCAGGCTGGAGTGCAGTGGCCGCTCCCGGCCACCACAGCCTCGACCTGCTGGGCTCCGGCGATTCTTCTACCTCAGCCTTCCAAGTAGCTGGAACTACAGGCACGTGCTACCGTGCCCGGCTAATTTTTGATTTATTGTAGAGATGAGGTCTCGCCAAGTTGCCCAGATGGGTCTCGAACCCGCGGGCTCAGGCAATCCACTCACCTCAGCCTCCCAAAGGCACGGGATTACAGACTGAGCCACCAAGCCTGGCTTATACTTAATAATTTAAATAATGTTGCTGGAAGGCACCTTAAAAGATCACTTAGTCTACTTCATTTCCTCTAGTTTTACTTATGACAAATCCCTATTTATACTGTCTTCATTCCAGTGTCTGTGACCTTAACAGCCAAGATGCTTTTTCTTTTGTACAAATGCATCCTTTCCTGTTTTAAGTTCATCAGTGGTGGTGAGGGTGGTTGGGGGAGGGTTTTAGAAATAACACCTGGTAAATATTTTCTTTCCTTGAGAAGAACCTTTTAACCTTCTCACATCCAAATTCAGACTTGGAAGATATTTTAGACCCTAAACACCCTCATTTTAAATGTGAAGAAACAGAAGCCCGGAGTGGTTAAAGAGACTTGCTTAATGTCAGAGCTTGGTTAATCAGATCTCTAAACTCCCATTCTGGTATTTATACTGTACCACATTGCTACTGTTTTTTCTACTTAAAGAAGAAATTAAGACAACTGTCAAAACTGGAGGCTAGGTTGGGCGCGGTGGCTCAAGCTTGTAATCTCAGCACTTTGGGATGCCGAGGAGTGAGAATTGTCTGAGTCCAGGAGTTCGAGACCAGCCTGAGCAACTTGGTGGTGTGTGCCTGTAGTTCTAGCTACTTGGAAGACTGAGAGGGAAGCATCACCGAAGCCTAGCAGGTCGAGGCTGCAGTGGCCGTGAGTATGCCATTGCACTCCAGCCTGGGTGACTGAGTGAGACTTCGACTCAAAAAAAAACCAATTGGATGCTTTGTATACTAAATATTTATTGGTCCTTGCATGTTAGGTTTCTTTGTCTATATCCTAGCAGCATATTTGCAGGTATGTGTGTATGTATTTTAAGGTAACAACACTTTACTAACTGAATTCAGTATATGACTCTCATATTTTATTTCTCTACTTTTTACCTGATTAGTTCTCTATGTTTTCTTAGAAAGTTAAATTAGACCTAATAAAATTGGCTCTTAAAAATTTTTTGAGTCAGGATCTCACTCTGTAACCCAGGCTGGTGTGTAATGGCATGATGTTGGCAAGACTGGTCTTGAACTACTCCTGGGCTCAAGCAGTCCTCCTACCTCAGCCTCCCAAAGTGCTAGGATTCTGGTCTTGAACTATTCCTGGGCTCAAGCAATCCTCCTACCTCAGCCTCCCAAAGTGCTAGGATTCTGGTCTTGAACTATTCCTGGGCTCAAGCAATCCTCCTACCTCAGCCTCCCAAAGTGCTAGGATTACAGGCATGAGCCACCATGCCTGGCCAAAATTGGCTTTTTTTTTTGTAGGTGGTTTCAGATTGTTTGGTTCTAATATATTTCCAGGAATCCATGTTTAACTGATCAGTGTCTATCAAGATCAGTTCTGTCCCTCCCATCTCCCCTTAAAACATGTATCAAATATACAGGTGTTTTCTATTTTGGACTTTCTTTTTTTGATATCTCAGAAATTAATGGTTAGAAGGTTATCATGATGTCTTCCAAGTCTTGAGGTGCTTCAAAATGCATGTCTCAGATTCTGAAAACTTGTATATCACTATTTGAAAAAGAGTGTCTGGTTTTCTAGTGTTACTATTCATTTTTCTGTTAAGCTTGAATTTTTCTGAGATCAAATGTGGTCTGCTTAATTTCTTTTCTCCCTTTTAGTTATTCCTGTGATGTCCCTCATCCCTACCAGATCTTTATATGCAGCTCTTTTGATAAGTTGAAATATATATTTAGGGGCAGTTATGCTAGAAATGTCATCATAATTAGATACAACGGGACTTTAGACTCTCTAGAAATTAATTTAAAAGTCACTGGGAAGTAAAAATAGAGTCAGTATTGAATTCCCCCATTGAATTTGGCACATGTGTAAGGTGTTAGTGGTGATACTATTTTTTTTTTATTGAGTTGGAGTCTCACCCTGTTGCCCAGACTAGAATGCAGTGGCACACTCAACGGCCACCCCGGCGTCAACCTGCTGGGCTCTGGTGATCCTTCCACTTCAGCCTTCTATGTAACCGGAACTATGGGCACGCGCTACCACACCCGGCTAATTTTTTATTTTTTATTATTTTTTTATTTTATTTTTTTTTTTTGAGTCGGAGTCTCACTCTGTCGCCCAGACCGGAGTGCAGTGGCCCCTCCCGGCCACCGCAGCCTCGACCTGCTGGGCTCTGGCGATCCTTCCGCCTCAGCCTTCCCAGTAGCCGGAATTACAGGCATGCGCTATCACGCCCAGCTGATTTTTTGATTTATTGTAGAGATGAGGTCTCGCTGCCCAGGCGGGTCTTGAACCCGCGGGCTCAGACAATCCACTCACCTCAGCCTCCCAAAGCGCGGGATTACAGGCTGAGCCACCGAGCCCAGCTTAATTTTTTATTTTATTGTAGAGACTAGGTCTCGCCAAGTTGCCTGGGCTGGTCTTGAACCCGTGGACTGGGATTACAGGCTGAGCCACTGAGCCCAGCGGTGAGACTATTTTAAACTTAGAAGGGTTACTTGGATGGTAAACTTGAATGGAAATGAAAAAGAAAAGCAAAGAAAACAAAACAAAAAACCAAGAAACTAGAAGAGTGGAAAGCAGAGATTTTTATTCTTGTGATTTATTACCTGCCATCACTGCTTTCCTTTCTTCTCCAGAGAATGATGAGCTAGAAATTGATGTGATACATTTTAATTCTTGAGGCCTTAATAAAGAAGTTGATATAGGGTATATACTAAGCCAGTCTCTGTAACATTATTTCTATTACCAGATGGGAAGACATTGTGGAGGTCAGATAACAAGGTGGAAAGATTGGACTTAGTGTAGAATGATATTAATGCCAGCTGATTCCAAGAAGATTTGTTCCATTCTGCTACATATAAATACAAATATAGTTATTCTTAAACATAGCAGCTCATGCAAGATGTCTGTCAGTAGCTTAAAATAAATCAGTTTTTTGTGCCATTAAAAAAACAAATCTTTGCAATTTCCTTGTGATTGAAAGACTTTTTAGGAGGATATAATTCACATACCATAAAATTCATCCTTCAAAAATTTCATTGTTTTTTAGCATATTCACAGAGTCGTGCATCATCACCAATATCTAATTCTCAGACATTTTCATCACCCCAAGAAGAAATGCTGTACTCATCCCTTCTTCTAAATAGAAACATTTGGGCCAAATACTTTGCTTTATAGTTTATATTAGTAGTTAAAAATACATTTTTGCTTTGAACAATGTTTTTTTAATGATGATGAGAGATACTGAGTATTACATTCTGTTGGTTTTTATTGCCTTCAATATAAAGTGAGATTTTTAGGTCCAAGAGTGAATGATAGTAAAGAAACAATTGAAACACTAAAATGTAATTTAATTTAGAGTTTGTCTGCTTTCCAGGAAATACTGTAAACACACGGATATTGAGGTGCATGATTCCAGCAACTCTAATATCAGAAGATTCTGTGGTTAAGGCAGTCTCCTGGCTTTGTGTTGGCAAGTGTTCTGGTAGCACCAAGGTAATCTTTTTAAACAATTTGATGATGAGTCCTTCAGAACCACTTCAGGACTGGCACGGAAGAGCCACTTATGGAGTAATGGCAGTGGCCTTTTGTGCAACGCCTGTAGTTTTGGAACAGTACAGCTTGATGCAGGGACTTTGTTGAAACAGAAATTTTACTGAGAAATAAAATCTATTACGCTATTTTGTGCTAGAAGCTTCTAAAACAGTCTCAAGGGAGGACTTAAGCTCTTCTGTACTAGTACAGTTATATTTCTCTAAAGATAGGCATTTTGTCTCTCGATAGGTACTTTTTTATCGTTGGCTGATTGCAATGTTTGACTTCATTGATCATAAGGAGCAAATTAACTTGCTGTATGGCTTCTTTTTTGCTTCATTGCAAGATGATGCACTGGTAAGTAAAAATTGGGCAGCATCAAGCACCAATCAAGTAGAAATTCTCAAAAATGGTCTGCAAACCCCCTGGGGCTCCCTGAGACCCTTTTGGGAGGTCTGAGAAGTCAAAATTATCTTCATAATAATACCAAGGTATTATTTGCCATTTCCACTTTGTTGATATTGGCACTGATGCTGTTAAAGCAAGGGTGGGTGAAACTACTAGCTCCTTAACATGAATCAAGGCAGTGGCACCAAACTGTACTAGTGGTCATTATATACTTCACTGCAGTAAAAAGCAAAAATGCTAGTTTCACCTAAGAATGTCAAATGAAACAGTAGAATTGCTTAATTAGTTTTATTAAATCTCTACCCTTGAGACATGTCTTTAAACTTCTGTGTGATGAAATAGCAAGCACAAACAAAGCCTTTCTGCATACTAAAGTTTAGTGGTTGTACTGAGGAAAAACACTTTTGTCATTGAGGTGTGAGCCAAACTACCTATTTTTTTGATGAAACACCATTTTAATTTGAGAAAGTGACTGAAATACAAACCATGGTTGTTCAGACTTGGGTGTTCTGAAGACATTTTCTTGAAAATGAACAAAACAAGCCTGTTATTTAAAAGAAAACAACTGGCAACATTTGTTACCAATGATAAAATTTGAGCATTCAAGTGAAAATTCAGTTTGGAAATGTATCTGCCACTGTGAACCTGACAGCTTCCAGATACTTAAAAGACTTTTCTGATGAGATTTGTGATAGTACTAATGAATGTGATTTTTTAGATATATAATTAAATGTGGCAACACTGGGGAGCTATGTGTAACTCGGTAAATCACTATTTTCTAGATGAATGAGCATGATGTTATAAAATCATACATAGGTAAAATATCCATTTAAAGTGCAGGATACATCAATGAATTTTTTTTTTTTTTGAGTTGGAGTCTCACTCTGTCACCCAGACTGGAGTGCAGTGGCCACTCCTGGCCACCGCAGCCTCGACCTGCTGGGCTCTGGCGATCCTTCCGCCTCAGCCTTCCAAGTAGCCGGAACTACAGGCACGCGCTACCACACCTGGCTGATTTTTTGATTTATTGTAGAGATGAGGTCTTGCCAAGTTGCCCAGGCGGGTCTCGAACCCGCAGGCTCAGACAATCCACTCATCTCAGTCTCCTAAAGCACGGGATTACAGGCTGAGCCACCGAGCCCGGCTACATCAATGAATTTTAATAGAATACTGTACAAAGCTTTTATTGAGAAGGTTTCAGATTCCACATTGCTGCTAAACCTTAAGAAACTTGTCAAAGGCTAATAGACATAATTTTCTAAAAGTGCTATTAAAATATTCTTTTTTATTATAAAGATGTGGGGTATAATTCAGTGTTAGGTATACAAACATTGATTATGCAGGTACCCCTGTTGATGAGGTGTCCCCCTCCCTCCCCAGCAGTTTCCCTCAACTGCCAATCCCACCCTCCCTTCCCTGACAGTTTCCCTCTACTGCCAATCCCTTTCTTATAGTATTATGATAATTGTTAAAGGTACGCTTATGAGTGAGAACATATGGTACTCTGTTCTTTGTTTCTGTGATAGATCATTGAGTATGATCGACTCTAAATCCATCCAAGTTGCTGCGAAGTCCATATGTTTGTCCTTCTTTATGGTTACATAAGATTCCATTGTGTATATGTGCCACATTTTATCCAGTCCATCTTCGATGGGCAGCATGGTTGGTTCCATGTTTTTGCTATTGTGAATAGAGCTGCAACAAACATACGTGTGCGGGTATCTTTTTTGTAGAATTATTTGAGTTCCTCCAGGTATATTCCCAGTAGGGGAACTGCTGGATCATATGGAAGGTCAATTTCTAGTTCTTTCAGAAATTGCCACACCGTCTTCCAAAGAGTTGTACTAGTTTGCATTTCTACCAGCAGTGTAGAAGCATTTCATTTTCTCTACATACTTGCCAGCATGTGTGGTTGTTTGTTTTATTAATGATGGCCATTCTTACTGGGGTTAGGTGGTATCTCAGTGTGGTTTTGATTTGCATTTCTCTGATGATGAGTGAGGCTGAGCACTTTCTCATGTGTCTGTTGGCTGCCCATATATCTTCTTTTGAGAAGTGTCTATTCATGTTTTTTGCCCACTTCTTAATGGGGTTGTTTATTTTTTTCCTTTTGGCATGTTTGAGTTCCTTGTAGATCCTAGATGTTAGGCCTTTGTCAGATACACAGTTGGCAGATACTTTTTCACATTCTGTGGGCTGTCTCCCTACTCTCTTGCTGGTTTCTTTTGCTTTGCAGAAGCTCGTTAGTTTGATGAGGTCTATCTTATTTCTTATTTCTTTGATGAGGTCTATCTTATTTCTTAAGGTATGGGCATTTAGGTTTCTGATCAGGAATTGGTTGTCAGTTCCAGTTTCCATAAGGGTGTCTACTGCGTTATTTAAGATTCTCATAGTTTGAGGTTTTACATTTAGGTCTTTGATCCATTTAAAGTTAATTGTTGTGTATGATGATAGGTAGGGGTCCCGTTTCAATCTTCTACATGTTGTCAGCCAATTTTTCCAGCACCATTTACTGAATAGATTCTCTTCTCCCCAGTGGTTGTTGTTGGAGGCTTTGGCCAAAATGAGGTGGTTGAGAAATTAAGGCTTTGTTTCTGGAATCTCTGTCCTGTTCCATTGGTCTATATGCCTGTTCTTGTACCAGTACCAGGCTGTTTTGATTACTGTAGCCTTATAGTA